AAATCTCTGGTAGAAGCAGGTTGAGTGCTTTGCTCTGAAGGCAATGAGGTTTTTACTCCCCCTAATCTCTCCTGAGAGCGAGCTCCAGCACGGTGGGCCAGCTGCCAGGAAAGCTATCTGCTCTGCTCCAGAGCCCTGTTCTGGTACGCGGCGGTTGCATCGCTCCTGAAAATCGTGGCTTTGTCAGGGAGTCACGAAGAAGAGGTCTCTTGGGGAGCTGGGACCTGTCCCACAAAGAGCCCTGGCAATTTAGACGAGCTCTCGGAAGCTGTGTTGCTATTTACAGAGGAGCCAATGGTGAGAGCGGAGCTGGGGTTTATGTGTAGTTAGGGACCTGTGGTGTTCAGCGACTGGGGCACTGCGTTCTGAGCTCATCTCGAAGTCCGTAGGACTGGTAATTCTTTCTACTACAATGCTTTGCTGCTGCCCAGCATGGCAGTGAACAAGCATTAGCTCACATCAGGGTGTGCTGCAGGCTTGTAGTCAAGTTTTATCAAAGAAAAGCCTGAGCATCGCTGCCCGAGCACCCCCAGCAGTCCTGTGCCTCTTTGTGGCTGCGGGCTCACAGGCTCGTCACCGACCCCAGCTGCAGCCAGCACCTAGAACTGGGGATGTTTTGGTTCCCAAAGGGCGTGTTGTGTTCCCTGCTTGTGTCTCCTTCATGTTTTCATGATTTGGATGCTGACATTCATTTATATTGTCAAAAAAAACCATGTTACTTTTTAGTAAATTGGCACTTTTTTCATCCAGCTTTTCCCTTGTAAGTGCAAGTTGCCTTCTTGTCACAGCGATGTGCATGGGTTTGTGCTCTGGGTAGGTTTCCTTTGGCAAACCCAGTTCTCTGTCCACGTAAATGCAAAAGAGTGGGGTGAAACTGAAAACAGGTGAAATGCGCTGGGCTCTCAGGCTTACAAATTGTAGGGAACAGTTCCTTAAGCGACACGTCGCTTTCAGGCGGTGTTCTGACAGCATAATCTCTGTCCAGGGAATATGGTGAGGGGGAAGAAGATCAGATCCAAATCTGTTGATTTGAAAAAAAGTACTTCTTTCCCCGGGAGTTAGAGAGAGCTGATCATTCAGAGGAAGTTAAAAAGTATTTTCAGGTTATTTTCTGCAGCATGTTCTCTCTGAAAAGCTCGAAGCAGATCTTGAGGTAGGGATGAAAAATCCCAGTTTTCAAGCAGAGAAATGGAATTTCTTGCCCCAAATCACCTAGTTAATTTGCAAGAAGAGGTAGGAGCAGCACCAGCACCTCCCTGAGCTGTACCGAGAGCAGTTTTCTTCCTTTATCCTCCTGCTACATGCAGCCACTGTGTCGTGAACTCTCGGAGGTGGGGGGCTGACAACGCCGCGGTGCCTGCTCAGGGACTGGCACAGCCTAGTTGGTCCCTCGATGGTTTTGTAATAAACACGCTTAATTGAAGGGAACGGAAGAGCTCAGCTCAGGCTCGTGTGGCTGGGCGGCGGAACAGCCCCTTCCTTAGCGGTGCAGCTGAGCTCTCCTTGTGTTCGGCACTGACCCTCGTCTCGGGGGCTCTGCTGGGTTGCTGTTTCTCGTTAGTGAAATGAGTTTGATGGTCTCAGACCCTTCCTTGCTAGTAAATGGTTTCAACTTCAAAACAAAGTGCAGTTAGTTTGGCAGGAGAGTCCCTGGGCTGACCTAAAACTAAATTACAGCTGACCCTGAGACAGTGAGGCCCCTCCAGGTCAGGGACAAGGGCATTGTCAGGACACTGGGAGCTTGCACTGTAATTAGCAGCAAAGGTATCAAATACCTCTGTTTCCAGCATTCCTGCCCTTAAAGCAACACAAGCAAAAAATCCCCAAATTTCTCCTATTGCAGCCTTCGCTTAAAGAAAAAAAAAAAAAAAAAAAAGAGGTAAGGCTGAGCAAACTTTCATCGATTTGCCTTTTCTCTGTTCTGCAGTAAATCTCTCCCCATCTTGATTCTCCTCCCACAGCCCCTTGTTCCCCCAGCATCTGGGAATGAATTTACCAGACATTACACTGCTTGCAGGGCTCCAGAATGACCAACAAACTTGAGCACATTCTGTCTGCCTAGCAGGAGTGTGTAAGAGGAGCTTTCCCACTTCAAAAATCTGCTTGGCTCCGGAGCTGCTTTCCCAGCAAATGTCTCTTCTGTCCCCAGCTTTCTTCAAACACCAGAGAGGCTTTTTTTAGGTTCACCCTCCAAAATGTGACTGGTTTTAAGTGCGTTTTATAAGTTGTAACAGGAATGCGACAATAGGAAAATATTTGTACTAGCTTCTTGGTGTCTAGCAGAGTGCTGCAGAGCGGAGGACAGGGGGCTGCTGCGGCTAAAATGCAGAAGGTAAGGATTATCTGAACGTCCCGCTCTCAACCTAGTCCCGTTTGCCAAGAATGTTTACTGCATCTCCAGCTCTTTGACTCAAATGCTCAAAAATGACGGGGACTTCTTGAAAAACTGGGCCTTTATTGCCTCACTGTTTCCATCCATCGCAAGTGGGCAGCTTCCAAATCCCCAGGGTGTCTGAAGCAGCAAACTTGGTGATCTCCAGAGGGGAAATGCTGGAGCAGGAGAGGACACACTGAACAGGGCTTCCAAAAACACCCGTGTAATCAGATTACAAGTCTGGTGAGTCAGGATTTCATAAGCCTGACTATGATCCTACTATTTCCAGTGGAACTCGTGAGATTCCCCTCTTCTGGACTCTCCAGAGCTGCCCCAGTTGTTCGTTCAGACGTGAGAGCAGAATCTGTTCACTGATCAGTCTGCAACGTGGCGGGTAGATGGAGCTAAATATTAAATTTAGAACATGTAATTAGATTTATTTATTTTCCTAGGAGCTTTAAGAGTTGATACTGGTGTTCCCATTGTGAGACGTGTGTCTGACAGATCGGACTGACGGAGGTTATGGTTTCCTTCCTACTTCAGGTACAGGAAGGGTTCCCATACCTATTGAGCACCTCCACTGTGAGAGAGGTTTCCCACTGCTCCCCTCATCCCCTGGTTTTGGCAGCGTCTCCACATTGCCCACGTCCCAGCTTCATGCTGAGGGACATCCTGGGCAGCTGCTTTGGAGGGAGCTGGTCCCGAGCGTCTGTGGGGTCGGCCAGCAGCCGGCTGGGAGCTCCAAGGGGGGCAGTGGGTGGATCGCTGCCTGCTTCGGGTGGAAAAGGGTCAGTGCCTCGGGTTGCTTCAGCTCAGTGGATCGCCTGGGTGTGAGCTGGGTGGGAGAGGGCTGTCTGGAGCAAAACCAAGAAAGTGGCATAAGGACCCGAATGTAGCAAAATCAGCCTTGAGGGAAATCCAGAGCAGGCAAAGGCGTGAAAAGATAAATGCTTAAAGGCTGTGAAAATTGAGCAGAAGATACAAGGGCAAGAGCAGACAAGTAGCGGCAGGAGCAAAATATTTCCCACTAGGTTATGAGCGGTGCGGAACCGGGGCTTGTCTTCGGTTAGAGGTCAGCTCGCTGGTCTGCGGGGGGGGAATCGCTGTGTCCCTGAGACCGAGGGGCAGCTTTGGAGCCTCTTTCAGCTCTAAACATATTTAAAAGCTGGTGCAGGTTGCTGTGACTGGAGTCTCTAGCAACAGTCCCCTCATTTCACGTTCCCTCGCCTGAAAGGATCAGCAGCCCGTAAGCCTGAGTGAAGACCGTGTGCTCTGGGGGGCAGATAAAACCCAAGGATACCACTCCTGGCCCCGGAGCATCTGTTCTGGGTGTGCTGCTGCGGAAAGAGAGGAGTTCCCCTCGGTACAGCACCCACTGGGGGAATTTGTGCCTCGCTCAGTGAGGTGCTCGTTGAATTCTTCTATGGTAAGCAGGAGGATGACCAGAGAGGACAAGAACACCCGGACCCTTGTGGTCTCCCTTGTGCCTCCCTGCCCGGTTGAGCAGGAAGGCAGCTCGGGCAGGAATTACGCGCACAAAGCAGCTAAGCTGCTCCTGCAGTCTGAAGATGGGAGCTTTGCCCGGGAAGACACTGGTGTCCGTCTTGATTAGGCTGCGATGCCTGATGCGAGTCATGTGGCAAGTGCAAACAAAATACCTTGGCAAAACCTTGAGGAACCAGGACAGGCTGAGCTGCTTAAGGAGATTTACAGGGTGTATTTCTGTCCCGTACACTTGCCTTGGTCTGAACCTCTCCTGCCTCGGGAGCTCCAGCACATACCTGGGATTTTAAAGAAGCTCCTTTCTGTTCGTTCCCCAAATAATCTGTAAACCTTCTGAATTTTGCGCTGTTAAGTTTTAACAGCGTAGTTCCAGTTGCTTTACGCCACCGTAGTACCAGAATGCTATAAAGATGTCTTCTGGGAAGTGCTGTTGGGATTTGTGGAGCAAAGGTCCCGTCAGCTTAGATTAGAAAATAAGTCTTGAAGAAATGGGAGAGTTAAAAGCCAGTGCGAGTGTTGGAGCAGAAGCAGGAAATTGATTATGTCCTGAAAGAGCGGGGATGGAGAAACAGCTTCTGCTTGCTCAGCTCCTGCTCGTGTGGTGAGCCAGAAGTTCTCTGCTTGCTCCTGTAAATGCCTTTTTCTTCTGCTGCTGCTCTGGGGCAGTGCCAGCAGCCAGGTTTTCTGCCTCCTGTGAGCGGCTCGGCGGAGGATCCAGCCGGCCTTCCCCTCAGTGCTGCCCCGCTCCCTGGGGCTCTGCTGTCGTTAAGGCAGATTTTGGAGGTCTGTGCCATGGTGCTGACTTCAGCCCCAGATAAATAATTCACACGTGTGGCAGACCTGTGCAGGATGCACGGACAGACTGATGGTGCTGGGCCCTGCCTAAGGAGCTGCTTTGCAGGCTGGGCTGCAGGGTGCCAGCTGTGCTGCTGGGGAGGCACTGGAGAAGCTCTCCGGGGTGGTTTTTCACTGGGACACGGGATTTTGCTTTAGTACACAACTTCAACGCTTTCTTTATGTTAATGCAGAACCCCGTTTTGTTGAAGATGCCTGGCAGCCCTTGCTCTGGCTGGTGCTCTTAAACCTGACCCAGACCTTTTTCTGTTAATGCCGTTTTATCCAGCCTGATCCCAGACCTTCCCTGCAGCCCCGGTGGTGTTCGATGCAGCCCAGCCCCATGCTGTACCGTGCCTTGCCCGACACGTGCCCGGAGACCACATCCTTTGACTTTCTCCTTGTTCTTCCTCTGAAACTGGGGATTAAAAGCAACGCCAAGACGTCACCTCTCTGCAATAAGCAAGTTATTATAACGAAATAATAAAATATACACAGAATATAACCACATCACCAAACTGATGTTTGCTTAATTTGTCCTTAAAAATGTTCATGGATGGGACTCTGCTCCCAGGTTGGAAAGAGCCTGGTAGGAGCGGGCTGGTGCTCTGGGGAGGTCAACTTTGCTCGGGCTGTTGGAGGGAGGGCCAGGCAGGGGTTAGGTAGGAACAAGGACGGAGCAGAAAGCAGAGACTGATGAAACTCAGCGACAACTGGAAACTGAGAGATGGGAGGGAATGAAGGTGATGCTCAGGGCATATTTGAGGAGAAAAGCCCCATTTTCCAAACTTGCTGTCGTCTTCTATCACTTTCCATGTAACTTTTGGAGCACTGCATTGAGAGATTGATGGGGAGTGGAGATGTTTGCAGCCCACCTTCGGGGAGGGGAGCCCTCTGTGCAGCAGGGAGCTGGCACCGTCACTTGGTCAGCGGGGCAGCTCCACGGCTGGTGGCTGAACTCCGGTGCTCCCTGCCTCGCTCACTGCCTCGCTGCAGACAGGGTCGTGTAGAGCAGTCACCACGGAGTTGCTGGGGCTTGTGGAGAGGGAAGCAGCAGGAAGGGCTCTGATTTTTCCTGTGCCCATCGTTTCCAGGACAGCAAGTGGAAGCCTGCGGTCTCCTGCTGTCCTTCAGAGACCTCTCCTCTTCTGCTGTTTTGTGCTGGATCCCTATTCACTGTGCTACAAGCTCTCTCGTTTCCTTTCTTCTTCTCTCTCTGAGAGAGCCAAATTATGTTTTACTTTTATTTTCCCTTCTGTGCAGATGAAGTTCAAGTCTCTGAAGTTCCAGTCCTTCTTGCTGTTTTGTGGTAGTTGGGGTGGTCTCCCCTTCTCTTCTCCCTCACTCCTTTCTTCCAGTTATCCCTGTTTTTATTTGCTCTCCGTACTTCCCTTTATTCTGCTCTTTATTCACCCACACATATCCTTCCCCTCCCTTTTGTCTTGCATGCAGCCCCGTTCCTCTCCTCTCCTCTTTCCCACCTTGCTGTTTGATGTTCTGCACCACGTATCTTATCTTCTTGCTCAGTGAGGTTTCTTAGACAGCAAAGAAATCCTTGGTGCCTTTACAGCCGTGCCTCTCTGCCTCTTGCTGCACGTGTCCTTCCCCCAACATGAGTAGAGCCAAAATACTGTGAGTTCTCTAAGAAGTTCTCCACGAAGGTGCCTGACTCTTGCCCCAAGCAGGTTCCCTTTGAGGCAGCCGTGGTGGCTGCCCGTGCACGGGGCAGGTTTGCCATCAGCCTCTCCAGAGGGCCAGCATCACCCCGCAGCACGGGAGCACTCCAGGAAGGCGCTCCCAGACTGGCATCGCCCCCAGGCCGCCGGCGGGGCTGCAGCTAATGTCTTCCAGGTTTGCTTGTTCAGCATCGTAACGCAAATATTACAAAAATGATTTGGATTCCGATTGAAGTTTGTTTATTAACTGCCCAAACGAAATGAAAAACAAAACTTCTCAGAGGACCTGACTGCCAAAAGCTCCTGGCTCCTGGACAGAGACAGGTCTCCAGGACTTGGTCTCTCCGTAAGCCGCGTGTGATGGAGTAAAAGAGGCCGCCGCTGCCCTGCCCCTCCCCTAACCTCCACGTTTTGGAGCCTCCCTCTCCCCATGAATAACTCCAGTGTCTGCCACTGGTGCTGGGCAGAGCTTTGCCAATCATCGTCCTCAGCAGGAAGTGGACATGATTTTGATAGTGTCACTCTACCACACACGAGACACTGAATAGCGGCAAGGAAACTGAGCAGTTTTGTTAATCTCGCTGGTGTTTGGCAACCTCTCAGCAGCAGCCACAGAGGCACTACAGCTGTCTGTCTGCAGCCCCAGGAACACAATGCTGCATTATTTTATATTTGGAGATCATCTTTCCAATCATAAGGTCTGGAATGTTTTATATATTTACTTCTCCGGGAGGAAAGCTTCCTACTGTCACTAATCAACAGATTTTTTCAGGACTTCCTCTCTCGTGTGTTAGAGAGAGAAATGCAATGATGCCACCAAAGAGCTTTGGGGTCCTAAGGTGGAAATACAGAGTATTACACCTATGTTTTGGAAAGGGCCTTGGAATAAGTTCCGTGGTGCAGTGTACCATCGTTCCTGGTGATGCAAGTCCAACCACAGCCTCCATCCAAACCCTCCTGCAGACTCATGCTTTTTCCCCTTGTGTGCACAGATGTTAACTCACATTGACCCTGTTCTCCCTTCTCCAATATTATTTTGGTGGAGAAGAGACCAAAAGAAGAAGCATAATGCAACAAAGATATACACGACAAAGTGTTTAATGCTGTCTCTCTCAGACTGCTTTACTTTATCTGTCTTGTAGACAATAAGCATTTAAAAATTAAAAACAATGCACTGGTAGTAAACAAAGGGGTGTTGTCCTTTTGCATGCCCAACACTGATCTCCTGTTTCTTAGCATGCCGAACACTGATCTCATTTCTTTTATTTTTTCCCTTTCTTGTGTTTAATTAGCATTACTTCTCTGCCTAAGTTGGGCGATCAATGGAGCATGAAAGCTGTGCTAGGTGACTTGCAAAACATTAGCCCCCCAGTTGGAGTATTTGCCATCCAAATCAGAGCAGGTGCCGGGAGGCAGCGCAGCAGCAGTGGGTTTGGGCAGCACGGCAGGCAGCACCGGTGGCTCGCTGGTGGCCCAGGTATAGCCCATTTTTTTGGGGATGTACAAGGGGAGATGGCAGAGATGCTGCCTCAGCCCCGCTGCTGCCAGCCGTGGTGCCACCTCGGTGCGTGGTTTCTGTTTCTCTTCCTCAGCAGCCCAGCTGCCTCTGGAGGCACCTCCACCCAGTGTGGTGATTTCAGCCCTGTGGAATGAGTGGGTTAGTGCGGAAGCAGCTCAGCCTGGGCTGGGGGAGTCAGGGCTGCTCTGCGAGCACGACCGGGACGCTGCACAGCTCGGTCCCCAGAGGTGGCTGCCAAGCCTGGTTATGAACGTGTAGCTGCACCCAGGTACGGGGCCAGGAGATGGGATGGTGTCACCGACCTAGCATGGGAAATAGAGTGGGTGAATGGGGGTTTGGAGAGCTAACAAACAGAAGGGATGTATTCAACTCGTGGTTGCACCAGGGGCTTTGGGATGAGCCTAGGTTACGAAAGATGCTGCTACAAGGTGTTGTTAAAGCAAGGTGTCCTGGCTCCTGGCCAGGAGGGAGATGAGGTGTGTTGGCACATGAAGTGATCGTGGAAGAAAGGGAAGAAAGGTCAGCTGAGGCTGGTGCTGATCTGAGAGCCGTTTGGTGCCTTGTGTTGGGCAGTAATGGAAGGTACAGGGAAGGCACGTGGTAGATGGGAGAGGAGCTGGAGACGTGCACGGAGAATATTTGGCAGCATGGTGGCCCTTGCTAGAAGACCACAGCCTGGGACCCTGTGCTAGCCCTGTCCTGAGACGGGCTCACAGCTCCAACCAGCAGAGGTTTTGTGCCCTGCTGGGCTCCCCTGTGCCACGGCTGCCAGCACGTGCCCTGTCTCGGGGTGACGCACTGTGCGACCAGCTGAGAAGCTCCGGCTCACCTCGCTGTAGCCTTGCAGGTGACAACCAGCGTTTCACTCGCTCCTCACTGAGCTCCTCCAGCCACCCACGCCGGGTTGCAGGAGCTGAGCAGGGAGCCCACAGACCCCCTCCCAAAGCCACCAGCATGTGGATGAACCCCAGAGCCAGCATCAAGTGGCTTGGTGTGAGCCTGGTCGTTCACAGGACCGAGGGATCTGCTGGGCGACCTAGGGGCCACCTGCACCCCCCCACAGAGAGCCGGGGAGGGCACAGACCGGGCTCTGCGTGCGGGGGCTTCGGAGCTGCCAGCAGGTCCCGTGCAAGCAGCATTTGGGGGCACAGCGGGGCCGGGCTCTGCCCCCACCCAGCCGCTCGGGGGGCCCGGGGAGGAGCCGTGGGGGCCGCCCGGTGCCCGGTGCCCCACGGGGGGACCCGAGGCCCCTCGGGGGGATCCCACCGGGGGGGTCCCAGCCCCGGCTTTCTCCCTCGGGGGGGCTCCGAGCGGCCCTGCCCGGCCCCGTCCTTCCCCCGGGGGCAGCCCCGCGGCCTCTTTGTCCGCAGGTGGCGGGGACAAAGCGGGGCCGGGGCGGCTCGGGGCCGGCTCCGCTCCCCCCGGTGCTGCTCCGGGCGCGGCTCCCGGCGCTCGGCCCCGGCGCTGCCGGCGGGTTTTATGCGTGAGGAGCCCGGCGGGGGTGGGAGGAGCCGGGCAGGTTGTGCCCGCCGGGCCCTCCTCCCTCGCTCCCTCCCCGCCCGGCGGAGAGGGGTCGGGGGAGGGGGCAGCATGGCCTGGCCGGCCGGCCCCTTTTCCAGCGCTCATCTGCCCCGGGAGTGCGGCGCCGCTCCTCGCAGGGAGAAGAGGTCCGAATGGAGACAGACGGCAGCCAGCCCGGCCTCGCCTCCCCGGACTCCCCGCACGACCCCTGGTACCGGCTCGCCGCCCCCCCCCCACCTCCCTTTTCCTTTAACCCTCCCCACCCCGTTCACCCCCCACCCCCCCCCCACCCCCCCACCCACCCCCTCTCCCCGGGCTCCCGGTGCACGATCGCGGCCGCCTCCTCCTCCTCCTCTTCCCCCCCGGGCCGGGCAGGCGGCGGCGGCGGCGGCGGTGCCAACATGGCCGATCCGCGCCCTCCCCTCCCCGCCCGGCCCCGCGGGGCTCGGCGGCCCCCCCCCGGCTCACGGCTGTCCCCGTTCCTCCCGCAGCAAAATGTTCATCGGGGGCCTGAGCTGGCAAACCACGCAAGGTGAGCGCCGGGCGGCCCCGCACCTGCCGGCGGTGCCCCGGGGAGAGGGGGGGGGGGGGGGGGTTGGGGATAAAGGAGGGGGGGCGGTGGGAGCGGGTTTTGGGGGGGTTTTGGGGGGTTATGGGGGGGGGGTGGTGGCTGTGGGGCCGTGCCGGGACACCCACGGCGGGCGCTGTGCTTGCAGAGGGTTTGCGGGAGTACTTCAGCCAGTTCGGCGAGGTGAAGGAGTGCCTGGTGATGCGGGACCCGCTGACAAAGAGATCCAGGTGAGGAGGCCGGGGCCCGCTCCTCCCTTCGCCCCCGCCGCGGCCCGGCCGCCACTTTAACCAACTTTCTCTCTTCTCTCCGCATCCCCTCTCCTGCCCGGGCTGCGGGGCTCAGGGGCTTCGGGTTCGTCACGTTCATGGACCAGGCTGGCGTCGACAAGGTTCTGGCCCAATCCAGACATGAACTGGACTCCAAGACGGTGAGATGACTTCTCTCATCTCAGGGGTGCATTCGCCGGCGGAGCTCGGCCGCGCTCGGAGCAGCCATCGATTGCGGTGTTTGATTTCCAGTTAGAGGTTGTAAACTATCGATTACTGATAGCGATCGATCGGCCCCTTCTCCACCTCACTTAGCAGCTGGTAGCGTGGCTGCCGCCCCGGCTCCGGGCTCGCTATTGACCGCTGCCCCAGCGGCCGGGCATCGATCCGCGGGGCCCTCGTCCTCCCTCCCGCCGACCGTGAGGCCCCTCCGAGGCCGCCACGAGCCCCCTGCCGAGCCGGGACACCTGAGAGCAGCGGGGGCGAGGGTTTGGGAGAGGGGGAGCCGCCCCCCGTGCTCCCCGGGGGTGCCGTGCCCCCGGCGCTGCTCCCTGCTCGAGGCCCCGCTGCCGCCCGTGCTCGGTCCTCGCGCCCCGCAGCGATCCCCGGGCGAAGTTTTGGTAACGCTGGCGGAGGTGCAGGACTTTATTGTCTCCGAGCCTGGCCAGCGCCCGCCCATGTGGGCCACCGGCGGCCTGTGGGAGCAGCAGCCGCGGCTCCGGCTCTCGCTCTGCAAACCCAGGCGGCTCCAGAGCCCCCCGGGAGGGCTCACGGGGGAGATTTCGGCAGCTCCCGGGGCCGGGGGTGGCTGGTACCCGGTCCCGCCTCGCGATTCTGTGGCGCTCGGGAGATGTGCGGGCTCGGTTTTGGGGGGGTGGGGGTGAGGTGTCTGAGTGGGAGGTCCCTGCTCTGCAGTTTTGGTGACTTCCCTTCCCCTGGATTCCTTTTCCGCGTTGCTGCCCCGGGGGTGAAGGTGAGGGTAGGGCTGGGGAGCGGCAGGGGCTGCGAGGGGCTGAGATGGCAAAAGGGCGACAACGTTCCTGTCCTGGGCACGGGCAGGCAAGGAGCCCAAACGAGCAACTTTATTTCCAGCGCGTGGCTGGGGCATCCTCGCCTTTATCTCGGCACAACGGAGGGGGCGGGAGAGCGAGACCCCCTTTCTGCGGGTTTACGGCGAGAGTCGCAGCGAGATCTGTGTCTGTTCCTGTTTAACCGCCTGGGTCGCTCCCTTTGATGTGCACAGGTCCTTCCTCCCCCCGGGAGCTCGGGGTTAAACCTCTCCCAGCCCTCCTGGCTGGGCCTGGGTCCCCGGGACCCCAAACCTCCTCCTTTGGGAGGGATGGAAAGGGAGCTTTGCTCTGGGGCAGGGTTACAATGAAGTATTTTGAGGAGGACCCAGCTTTTTCTTTTTTTTTTCCCTCTTTCTGTTTTGCTAGCCTGTGTAAACACGGTGTCTGATCAGCCAGTCCCGTCAGCACCCCGCAGGCTGGTGTGGACCCCTCTTGGAAGGGCAAGGGCCGGGTGGCCGTCGGGGCAGCGATCCTGGCGGGGTTTGGGGCCAGCAGCGAGGTGAAATCCTGGGTCTCCATTCTTCTCTGAGCTGCCACTGCCTCCGCGACACTGCTCCGCGGCCCATGAGGGCAGGGAAGGGAAAAGAAGGGAAGGAAAAAGAAGGGAATGGAAGGGGTGGGTGGGTGCTGCAGGAACAGACGGCCTCGTGGCAGAGGGCGCGTGGGGACCGGCCGGCCATTGAAATTCCCGGCTGCATCTGCTCCGCTCGCCCTGCCGGCGCGGCAGAGAGCGTGGGGGCTGTTCCGCCAGGGTCCTTCCTTTGTTAGCAACTTTGATCCCCTTCCCCGTCCTTTTTGGTTTTTAACGCTGGTTGGTTTTCAGCCGGGTCAGGTGTTTTGGGGTGTTTTGCCCCGGTAATTGCCAGGTGAGAGGTTGGTCCTGCATGGAGCCTCCGCGCACCTTTTGCCTGCTGAGCTGAAACTGCTGTGAGTCACGGGTTAAATGACACAAACTCATCTGAATCCTAATTTAGGGTTTTAAGAAACTTTGCAGGAAAAGGCCCGGTGTCCTGAAAGGGCAGCCTGCTCTCGAGGCTCGGTGTCTCCTGGTAAACAGCACTTGGTCGACGGTGTCTGCCCAACTTGTTGCTTCATTGTTTTCCAATTCTTCCTACCCTAACGAGCGCTGTTGGCCTGATTCTCCGGGGGAAGCTTGTGCTTTGCAGACTCCTCTTTGTTTGTAAGCTAGATAGCAGCAGCCCACGGGGTTATTTATGGAAATGCTTGATACGAGAATTGGCTTGGCAGTCTCAAGGTAAAAGATTTGCGTGACTTTGTAAAGCTGCAGCTGGCCGCTGCCTTGAGCTTCTTCCTTCTGTCTGGGGGAAGAGCAGGCTCCGTGGTGCTGGGTCACCCGCTCGTTTCTTTGTTGCCGTCCCTGACTTTTTGCTGGGTTTGTCTTTTGTGGTGGAGAGCCTGGCTCTGGGGGCAGTGCCGGCTGATGGAGAGAGGCTGGCTGTAGGGGTGCGATGAAGGAAGGAGCCCAGCCATCAGGTTTTGTGGCTCCTGCCCTGCCCTGGCCCTGCTTTGGGGCACCGATGCCAGCCAGGTTCATGCAGGAGGTGCTGATGGTGGCTGGTGGCATGGAGAGCGTTACTGAGGAGCCCCCAGTACACCTGCACCGTCAGGTGTCCCTACAGCCTTGTGGGGTGAAGCGAAAGCGGCTTGTGATCGGGTGACTTCCACTTGCCGTAGCCTGATACAGGGATTTTTTTGTTTCTCTTTTTTTTTTGGGATACAATCGGAGCAGCTCTGAATGCTCCCACTCTTCGCAGATTTCTATCTGGGTTCGTAAAAAGGATCCGTGACGTCAGCGGGTGACACTGAAACACAACTCCTCTGGGGCTGGTTGTTTTAACACCAGAAACGAGGGGGGAACGAGGTACCGGTGCTTTTGCTTTAATTAGAAAGCCTCCTGCCACCGAGGAGCAGTCCAGTTTTAGTAACTTGAGGCCGGCGCTGAACTCGCTCTCCTCCGCGTGTTCCCAGGGCTGCCCCTTGAGCCGCTCGCCCGGGCCTCCCTCTACCTGCAACAATAGCTGCTTGTGCAGAAGAATTCGGGCAGCGACTGCCCGCTCCCTGCAGCCAGGAGGACGCGTTATCTCTGCCCAGTTGATCACACTCAGGGTAATGAGAAAATGAGGCCGAGCTTAGCATTGCTGAGTATGAAAGCATCTTCTTGGCAGGGGCTGAATGACACTGGCTGAGAAGTAAAAGACAGTGGATTATTGTTGTTGCTTATTATCTGCCATCAACCTCCTGGGCTCCTGCCGTCCCCCTGTCCTCAAAATTCGCCGTGGGTGCCCGCGCTGGCCAGGCAGGGCATGTGTGTGTGTGGGGAGGGAGAGGGGGACGGCTCGCATGCCCCAGGGAGGCACCCAGAGGGTCCTCTGATCCTCCTGCTCGCAGCCTGGGGACGGAGGTTTTATTTCTGAGTTTATTTGTGCACTTCACTTTTGCCTCTGTTTACTTAGGTGCCGGGTTTATTTATGTTGCAGGCCGTGAGTCAGGCCGGAGGTGGGGAAGGCAGGGAGAGGAGCTGGTGGAAGGGCCCGGGGAGGCCGAGCTGCGGGGCTGTGACAAGTGAAAGGGCGCGGGACGGGAGGGCGGCCGGGCTGAACAAAGCAGCGGGAGGCGGGCGAGAGACACAGCTTCCCTCCGGGCTGCTGGGACGATGCTCTGGGCTGCCCTCCCAGCTGCAAGCCCGGCCAAGCGCGGGGCCGAGCCAGCCCTGCCTGTGCCGTGGGTCTCCTTCAGCTGATTTGTAGGTCTGGCTCGTCCCCGACGTGATGTAACTTCGCCGGAGTTGCCGTAAAAAATGGGCTGTAAAGAAAGAGGTGGAGGCAGAGGAGGAGCGCGGGCTCCATGGGCGCCGGGTGTGCGGCTGCGTTCGCGTCCTCCCGGCTTTGTGGCGGCGCTGGGAGCCCGGCGGGACGCGCGGCACCTGGGTGGCGGCTGAGCAGGCACAATGGAGGGCTCAGCGCGCCGAGGGGAGGCTTCGGCTTCATTGTGTGGAGAGGGGCGGCACGCTGCCCCGCGGCCACAGCCCCTGCGCGCCTTCCGCGGGAGGCTTCGGGCTCCTGGGTTTATTCTGCACCCTCCTGGCGGCTCTTTGGCTGCTTCACCCTGTGTCACGGGGTGGAAGGCGTTTGGTTTCTCGCCTGCCGCCTCTCGTCCGTCCTGCCGCTAGCCAGGTGAGCTCCGTGCTTGGAGGGCGAGTGAAAGGGAGAGCAAAGAGGCAAAAGGCAGCGCTCTCAGCGCGACGCCGGTGGTGCGGGGCAGCCGGGGGCAGGCCAGGAGGGAGGGTGCAGCCGAGCCCGTTAATCCCGGCGTGTGCTGGGCTCTGGGTGCCGCCTGCCCAGCGCTCAGCCCGAGCTGCTGCATGCTGGGACTTGTAGTCTCCGTTCAGCGCACTGTGCCGAGTGGGGGATGATGCCTGCGCCCTGCTTCCTTTGGTGCTCCTCAGGGAGATGCTGCGGGCTTTTAGCGAGGTGAGCCACGTGGGCAGAGCCGGCCGTGCGCCCGGAGGCAATCCTGCATGTGTAAAGAGGCAGCAAAAGGGTGCTCAGCTCTGCTTTCTAACATCTCTTTCAGATTGACCCGAAGGTAGCGTTCCCCCGCCGAGCACAGCCCAAGGTAGGTACCGCGGCCCTCGGAAGGGGCGAGTCGTGGCGGGGAGGCTCTGTCCCCTGCGTGGGGCTGCCGGTGCGGGTAGCGGGGTCACTCCCTGGGGTTTGCTCAGGACTGGTGCTGGGCATGGTCTGACCCGGCCGTCAGGCTGCGGTGCTGGGGGTTGTAGTGCTGGAGGAGCCAGCAGGCCCCTTGGTTACACGTTAGAAGTGCTGCGATGCGCTCTGCTCCAGGGAGACCTCCTCCTCCTCCTGAGGTTGCAGGCAGAGCCCTGAAGCTGCAGGAGACACGGGACAGCTCCGTGCTGCGGTGCACGAGGAGAGAGGGCTGCATGTGCACAGCTGCCTGTGGATAAGTGCGTGGCAGGGGCGGGCTGAAGGATTTCACTGCACGAAATGCCCTCGTGTGCCTCAGCTCTGGCAAAGGCAGGAGGAGTTCGGTGTTGGACCTTAGGGGCCAGCGGCTCTGAAGTCACAGTGAGCAGTTGCTGCTTTTAGGCTTTGGGTGTCCCGTCAGGTTTGCTCTCGGCTGGGAGTTTCCAAGTTCGTTGTCTTGATTCCTGGTGCTGTCACGGGAGGAAGAGCTGGAGGGAAGCACGGAGGGAAGGGGAGGCTGGTGCTGGGAGGGGAGGGAGGAGGTCAGGCCCCACGAACAATCGGTGAGCAGGTATCCCGAGTAACTGGAGCCAGGAAGCACATGGTAGGAATTGGGTTAATTCCATTAAGCAGTTTGGTGACAGAAGGTGCTTTAGTGTTAGAACGGGCTGCTCTCCAAGGCAGGGAATTGCTGCGGATTAGCCCCATGCTCCTTGGGGTAATTAGGACCATGTGTTCCTCTGAGAGCAGGGGTGTAGCCAAGCAGCGAAGGGGAGGATGCAGCTGGAGAGCCAGTTCAAAGCATGTCAGTGTGCCTCCGCCTGGCAGCAGTGGCCTCTCTCAGGGCAGCTTGCTTCTCCCCTTGTCCCAGAGGCACGAGTGAGAAGTGGCACAGGGGTCTTTGCCTCCTTGCAAAGGCAAAACAGGATCTAGCTGGGATTTGTCCAGGCTCCTTTTCGGGGGAAGCAGAACAGACTTCTCCGGGGGAAGGCTGGGGATGTGACACCCTGCTTCTCGGGGTTTTGGGGGCACCGAGGGAGCGGCAGCAGCTCGGCAAAGGCTGGAGCCTGCTGTCCGAGGAGGAGGTGTTGGTGAGCTGGTGTGTGCCTGCAGGGAAGCACTTTTGGAGCGCGCCGAGGGCTGGAGCTCGGCTGCCAGGAAGGGGCAGCCGCTGGCTGGCAGCAGAGGGTGAGCTCGTGGCCTTTGGAGCCCCGTTCTCTGCTTTGCTCTCAGTTTATTTGGTGAATTCCTGTCCTTCCCTTTTCCAGATGGTGACCCGAACGAAGAAGATATTTGTGGGTGGTCTGTCAGTGAACACTACTGTGGAGGATGTGAAACAGTACTTCGAGCAGTTCGGGAAGGTAAGGCTCTCGAGTGGCGTCGGATCAAAGCTGTTGCTGCTGGGGCAAACGGGAGTTTTCTGAACTTTTTTGGCGGCGGGATTAGGAGCCTGCGAGGCTTTTGTATGGGGTTAAGTAAATGGAAGGTCGGTTACAGAGGTTGGGTAGCTGTCTTTGTAGCAGACTTAGCCCCGTGTTGGTTTGAAACAAAGAGCTTGTGCTTGTTTCTGGAGTCTCTGGGACCTGGGCTATGGGAAATGGTTTTCCATTTTTCCTTATCCCGAGGCCTGTTGGGCGTTTTGGTCCTGCGGATTTGCAGTTTGTTTGGACACTGAAGGAAGGAGTGTAGACACTCTCAACAGGGCTGCTGCAGCATCAAACCTGTGGGGTTTGGCCTGTTTCTGCTTCCAAGCCTTGTGACTGATATTTCTGTAATCCTTTATTAAAAATAAGCCTTTTGGGTCCTGAAAGTTCTCCTGCTGAGTCTTGGGCAGGTGCTGATGTTGTTTTGGGATGTTTGGATAAAATCTGGCATGTTGGCTGTCCCTTGTGTTGGCCTGGGTCTTCTGTGCCAGCTGGTGGCTCGGGGCAGAGTAGGCTCCCGTGGATTGAAGTTGTTTGTGCCCCTGCTCCGTGACAGCCAGGTGTGCAAATCACTCGTCACAACGGGGCTGGAGGATGGAGGAGGCTCAGTCTTGGCCTTTTGGCTGCATCAGGAGGCTGTGAGCCTCCTCAGGAGCAAAGCAGTGGTGTTAGACTGAAGGATCCCAAGATTTTTAATGAAATTAGGAACTGATGGGGATCATTGCAGCCAAATGCCGAATGTGGTCACTTCTGAGGCAGGGCACTGGGTCTGGTTCACTGTTGCTCGGTGGTGTTGTGTGCTTCTTAGCTGTTTTGGGGCAGGAAGAGTTGGAAACAGTAGCTGTTGGGGTCTTCCCCCCTGGCCAGGGTGGCAGAGCGTGGTTTGCTGGGTGATAACTGGCCAGGATGTTGCTGATAGCATCCTGGATGTGGAACAGTGCCATGGGAACTGTGGAGAGTGTGAGGGATGAAGGCTTCAGTATTCGTTGTCTTCTGAAAGATCATGCAAAGGGGTGATGCTACGTTAAGGCACGTTAGTTGGTGAAAAGGAGGGGAGTTTTGAAATCAGTTTTGCCAGATCGTTGGAACATCTGGGCAGACAATTTGGAACGAGTGCTTGTTTGGTACCTTCGCTCAGTTTCAAAAGTCAACTGTGTGTGTGCCTGGAGTGCTGTTGTGACTGCAAAGTGAGACTTGTTTCTGTTTCTGCGTAGCCCTAAGAGAGTGATAATGGCAAAAGTCATCACAAATCCTCGTGTCTGAGAGTCATAAGCTCTGTGTGGTTTTTATTTTCTGTTAGAAATAAGCGAACTGTTTGTCCCTGGGAGCTTTTACATGCTGTCACTGAAGGGCTCCACTAAAGGTGGTGGTGTCCATGTGTCTGTGTCATCTGAAGGTTGTCAGCCGCATGTGTTTCTGTGCTTCTACTGCTGGCTGTGTTTGATAGGAAGCTGAAATGTCTTGGGTGTAATCCCCTTTTAACCTGAACTGTACCCTTGTTAATGTGAAGCAGAAGCATGTCATGTAGCACTCAGTTTGCAAGCAGTCACAGTCCAGTTTGAGAACTCCTTTCCAGTTCTTTTGGAGCGTTACCCTGTTACATTCCTCTTGTTTAATGGTCGCGTGTTGAACGGAGTCCTTACACCAGGAGACTGGCAAGGAGTGGTTGTGTCAGATTGTTTTCTTAGGACTGGGCAGAAGGGAGGGTTCTGCACAGCTCAGTGCATTCATTGCCCAAGACGCAGCATCCCGGCCGACATCCGCTGCTCCGTCTGCATTAGGTCGATGCAGCTGGCCTCTCAGCTCCCGGGAGTTTCCATGGGGAGAGGTCAGGGCTGGTCGCATTGATTCTCTGGTTTTGGGGCTGTTTCCTGACTCATCTGGCCGTTTCAGCCGAGCAGAGACTCCTCAGAGCTCTGACGCGAAGCGTGCTCCCTGGTCTCTAGCCATCTTCCAGGCCAAGCCTCAAATAATTCATCGGAGGCCAGGAAAGCTGTTCCCCGAGAAACTCTCTGCAGGTGGTGGTTCCGTATGGCTGGCCGGGGGATTGCTGGGGGCACACATGGCCGAGGAAAGCCTCTGTGGCCATCAGCGCTGGGGTTCGGAGCTCTGAATGTGCCTCTGTGGTTTCCAGGGCTAAGAACAGCCCTTTGCCCACATTTCAGACGTGAGTCATTCTTACGGAGAGCATAACTTTGGTACGCAGGCTCTTTATGATGCTCGGGGCCTCCTGGGTTTCGGAGGTTTCCTGGGATCCCTTCTCCAGAGGGACGCTTGGCACCTGACTTTGTGGTCTTCCACCTCCTAAATTTATGGCACCTTTAAGTGAGAGGTGAAGCTTCAGGCAGGTGAGCCACATGGTGGAAAGCCTCTGTTGTGTAACCAGCAACGTTGTCTAAGTCACCTGGGACAGTATTCTGGAGTCGGATTGGGACTGGCTGTGAAAAAATTGTTAAGGGTGCCCTTCTTGGGGGACTCACCGTCCAGGGAAATGGCTTTGTCTCTGTTCCCTCTTCCTCTGAGAGACTCCCTGTTTTTCCAGGATCTGGCAGGGGGAAAAATCATTCTTTCCTCCTGCCTGCTCAGGAAGCCGTGGGAGCAGCCACGGTTAGATCCTAGAGAGGAAGGAGAGGGGAGCACAAGTCACGCTGTCCTGATTCCTCAGGATCAAGCTATCAGGCTCCTGGCTGTGCTCTTCAGTCAACCTTTGTGAATCCAAAGGCAGGCTCCGTTTGGCTCTCAGCTTCGGTGAGAGGCCATCCTCTGCCTCTGAGGACAAGGGAGCACGGAGTGCTGCTGGCTTTGCATGGAGGTTATCTTCTAGGAGGCCCTGGGGCTGTAAGCCTAAGCGTGGGGTAGGTGTGCCACCACTTGGAGCCTTTAAATCAGGAGAGATGCTTTTTAAAAAATACCCTCTAGTCCAGCCAGAAAGCACGTATGTGCTGTAGGGATTAGGAGAGGAAGTGCTATGGCCTGCAGTACAGACAGGGCCAAATACGATTATTGTAATGTTCTGTCATCCACATTTGTGCACTGCAGCTCACGAGTCTACCAAGGTAGCTGGTGTTGGTGTGTCTCAGATCAGAGCAACACTTGGAGCTTTGTGTGTTCATTAGCTGGGGAAGAAAATATGGAAGTTTGGTTGGGCTCGGAATGAAACGGTTTCCCATTTCAGAAAACAAGATCACTGAGTCTGACTTTCCATTTTGTCATTTCTGCTTATTGTCCTATTTTTGTTTTGTTTTCTTTCCTTGCTGAGTGCAAAACCTTCTCTGAGCCTCGTAAAATGGAAGTGACAAAAGAAAAATGAAAATGTGTGAGAAGGAAATCCCAGAGCTTTACTTAGGGTTAAGGGAAGAAATGGAGAGGCTGGCACCCCCATTCTTCATATCGAAATGCTTGGTTTTGACAGGGGAAAGAAAGGTGATGCTTCAAAGAGGATCCCAAATAGTGTGAGAGTTTCTCTGGTTCAAAGAAGGACAGCTTTCTTTTTTTTTTTTTTTTCCCTTCCAAAACTGTGAATGAAAAATATGGGCTGATGTTTTCATGAGGAAAAATACAAAGTGGTTTTCTGTTTGTTTGTTTGTTTTAGTGCAGTAAGAGAGACTGAGAAGTGCTCTCAAGCCAGCTTTGGTTTGTCAGGTGCAGCTGCTAGGGCTTTGAACGTGGTGGGATCTCTAGGAAATACTTCTGGCTCCAAAACTCGAGTATCTCTGAGATGCAAGATGGGAACATGCACATGGTTTGTAAAGAAGAGATTTTTTTCAACTGTAGGATTGAAGTCCAGGAAAAGAATTACATTCACAGTATGGGTAGCCAAGTGTCTTGGCTTAAGGTGGAGAGTGTTGGAGATCTTGAGACTTCACAAGGAAGTATTTCAATATCGTCTCTAGACTCAGGCTACCACCCTCGCGGAAACCTGAAACAGAAGGAGAGGAGGAAGGTACCTCGTACCCAGCACCTCAGGCATAGCTAGTTCTCTGTCTTGCTCAACACGTATGAGGATGTCTCAGGAGCTTGAGTCCCAGCTTCCTCCTTTCCTGCTTCAACCTGTGGGAACGTGTTGCTCTGTATTACTTTTTGGGGACAAAGGGGTTGACCATCAGAGAAATTTCTTTGGGCTGTTGGGTCTCTGAGCTTATAGGCAAAGTTATATACTTAAAGTAATTAGTGAAGAATAATTTTGGATCCTCTTTCTTTTCCAAGGGTTGGTCTGACAAGGTTTTGGGGTAGAGAGGGTCAAATAAATTACAAGGTAAGAGGCTCAAAGCAGATAAGGTCTCTTTTTGTCATAGAGCTCATCTAAGCTGTGAAATCTTTGCCCCAGGGTGTTGTTGCTCAAATTTAGATAGGCTCCAAGATGATAGGACAAATTCATGGTAAAGATACAGACACCCCTTCAGGTTTGGGAAATCCCTGAATCACAACTGGCTGGGAGCTGAGGGAGGATCCTGGGATCTGTCGCAATATCTTTCCCTTGTCCTTCTGTTCTTCCAAAGGGACTTGCTGTTTGTCTGTGTCCTGGGGGTTGTTGGGCGGTGTGGGCCTCTGCTCTATCTCGGTGCAGCCGGTCTCGTTTGTCATTAGGGGGGAAGTTGGGCCTTTCAGAAGCTAGGGGTGCAGAGCTGCTGGAAGAAATGGGGGCCTGGGCCCAAATCTGGTGTTTCTTGTGCGCTTTTGCATTTAGTGAAGCAGAAGTGCAAAGAATATATTCACAATGATGCCTCTGCGTGACTCACTAATCAGTCGAGGCTCTAAGAGTGCTTGAAAAGTGCTTAAAAACAGGCTGCATCTGTCCCTGGGCTTGCAGGTGATCTGCATATTTGGATGAGTCGGTCACGAAACCTCCGTCTCTCAGTGCGGTAGATCGTGCCCAGAGAGAGACCTGCTCTCTAAAAATATCCTGGAAGCAAACAAGAAGGAAAAATCTGCTGAGG